TGTGTGTGTGTGTGTGTGTGTGTGTGTGTGTGTGTATGTCTGTGTGTGTGTGTGTGTGTGTGTGTCATACAGTACAAACAGAAGTGAAACTGAAGCAGAAACATTTGACAGAGCAGCAGCTAAAAATACATCAGATGATGATTCAACAGGATTTTAACTGAGTTTTACAGTTTGTCGACATCAGACACACACACACACACACACACACACACACACACACACACACACACACACACACACACACACACACACACAGCTACATTTAAACTGTTTCTCTCTTTGTCTTCTGTCAGCACTGAGTCTCAAACTTTTCTCACCAAAGCAGAGCTCTGCAGAAAACGTCTCCAGAGCAACTGAATCTGACAGCACTTTGGGGGGGTGGGGGGGTGGGGGGGTTGACTTTACTTGCTAAATATATTTTAAATGCTTATGGTCAAAGAAAAGAAATAAGACGAAACAGGAAGAGACTAAACCTGAAAACCAACCTCATGACACGACATCGGTTCTGATCCAAGTCCAAGTCAACCACAACCTCCAGCTCGTTTCACTGTATCAGAACCTGAATCCAAGTTTAAATGTCTGGGTTCTGGTTCAAGTCACTGATTTCATGTTCAGTCCTGATTATTTAGGTCAGAGTCCAAGTCATCAGCTTTACTTTGTCCAAGTCATGATATTCATGTCGTGGTCTTGGTGACAGGTGTTCGTCCTCAACATGTTCTCATGTCTTGAATTCAAGAATTTAAGTACAGTTCAATAATTATGTTTGAGTCCAAGTCATCAATATTTATTTGAAAGTCCAGGCCATCAGTCATTGTGTCAGAGTCCACGTCCAAGTCTCAGTCATCAATATTTGTGTTAGTGGGCAAGTCCAAGTCCTTAAGATTCAGGCCCATGTCCAAACCTCAGACCAGGTCAGTAATCAGAGTCCGACTAAAAGTCACTGATATTCATGTTCATACATATTTGATCCGGGTCATCAATATCCCTGAGGCCTGAGACCAATATCAATATCTGAGTTCAGACCATGAATCTTTAACCTGAGTCATCAATATTCACGAGTCCATGTCACTGGATCAGGTTCAACACACACATCGCTCATCAATATAAATTCAATACCTGAGAGCCAATCGATAGCTCTGATCAGTTTGTTTAAAGGCTCAGATGTCCCCACACACACACACACACACACACGAAATATGAACCTGAGCCAACACACTGCACCTGTCTGGTCATGTGACCATCTCTCCGTATCACTCTCCTTCTCTCTCACCTGTACTTCATGTTGCTATGACGACCAAGGGCCTCCTTCATGTGGGCGTGGCCTAGCAGGGTGTGTCTGTTTGATGGCTCTGTCCTGACCCTTGACTGATAGATGGGGGCGCTGCTGGTGGTCGCCGCCGCCCGCCGCTCCTTCAGCGGGTGATCACTCACCCCGCCGCCACCGCCACCCCCACCCACGTTACACGCTATGGACACCTGCATCCTGGTCGCTACGGCAACAAGCTTTATGTATATAATGAGCTCTAAAGTCTCAAAGCATAATGTGGAAACTGTTGCTGCCACCAAGGTCGCCGGTCACTATGGTGACGACAGGAAGAATTCATGAGTGGGATGTCAGCTGTGAGTCTGCTCAGGTTCTGAATCAATCAGCCAATCAGAGCCTCACAAACTTCTGTTAGTGCCCATCCAGCAGAGAGCATCCCGTCATCTGCCCCACAGTCCCACAGCTCTGAGGAGGAGGAGGAGGAAGAGGAGGAGGAGGAGGTGAGGATGAAGAGTGTCTGTCCGGCTGTCCGCAGGAGAGAAGAAGAGACAAACGATTTGGAGGGAAAACGACAGAGAGAGGAATGAAAGAAGTGAATCCACAAAAGCAAAGCGGGCGTCCGTCCTCTGGACTGTACTGACAGAGAGAGAGAGAGAGAGAGAATGAGAGACCCTCCCCCTCCTGCCTCTGCTCAGAGCCGGTCGGCTGCACACTGGGCGAGCAAGCATTTGACAGAGAGATAGAGACAGAGAGAGAGAGTGACAGTGAGAGAGAGAGAGAGAGAGAGACAGGAGAGAGAGAAGACAAGAGAGAGA